ACTAAACTTTTTTCCTGCAACAATTTAGTAGGAAAAAAAAAAGCGAGAAGAAAAAAGAAAACAGTAAACGCACGCGTGAATGCATGTGATTGCATTTACAGAAGTAAGAAAAGCATTTTCTCCACCAAATTAAACACTATACATATACAATGACCCATATCCATTGCCGGCTCAACATTTTTATGGGTCCTAGGGCAAAAAAAAAATTTGGACTTTTAGAAATTTTTTTTTAATGTTTTTTTGCTGTAAAAAAATTTTCTGTGCTATTTTTGTTAAAAATATTAATTACTAATACTAAAAACAATAAATAAAAAATTTTATAGACCTTTCTAAATTTTATTTTTATGTTATAATCTAATTTTTTAATATTTTTAGAAAAATATTTTAAAAAATGGGTCCCTTAATTATTGGACTACGGGATTGAAACCCTGGCCGTCGCACCGCCCGCCCACCCATCTGAGCCGGCACTGCCCATATCAAAGCGTTTAATTAACTAATGCTATGGTAGAATACTCTACCATAACATACAAAAAAACGTTATCCTATGTAAGGGGGTCTACTATAACAGGGACATAAAACATCATTTATAAAAACACTATTGATGACATATATAGCACTTCTCTCTTGCTAATAATGTAGATATTTCTTGTTTTAAAAAGTTTTATATGTAATGAAGGCAACAAATTAATTTGATGACATTTTTCGACGACAGTAGACAAAAAAGTTTTTAAGCAATCTATACTATTAATTGGGAATCACTAGATATTAAACAACCTTATGAATGGTAAAATATTACATAAGATGCCATTGATTTTTAGTGTTTTCAAATAAATTCATTAAAAGTACAATAATAATCACAAAATTAATATATTTAAATAAAAAATAAAATTCTTTTAAATAATTATTAATTTCCAAAAAAATAAACTAACTTTCTCTCTCTTATTAATTATGGACGAAAATTTGAAATTAATTTTTAAAAAATTGTTTACCAATGATAATTGAAAAACTAAGATTTGATATCCAACTAAGATTTTATCTAAACCAACAATAATAGATTATTCTATATCAAAAATAAAAATAATATCATTTTAATTCAAAATTAAAAACACTATCTTTTAAAAAATTTATCAATGGAGGATTTTAAGATTGAATTTGAAATTTCGTAAGAAAATTAAATACAAATATTTTAAGATTCAGTTTTGTGATAATATTTTCACAAATTTTGAAATATAAAACGAAATTTTATTTCACAATTTCTAAAAACGATATTAGATATTAACAAATATTTATATTTACTATGAAATAAACTCAAATAATAATAAATTTAAAGTAATTATAATTATGGCCTTCGTTTAGAACAAGTTTCAGAAATATCTAAACAATTGATTATACATATTAATTTCGAAATATTTGCGTTTTATTTTTTCTTTCTCAACCATATATTCCTTAAATAAATCCCTAATATATTGCATACAGTTTTGGAAATAATGTAAACTAATTATATATTTTTCATTCAAATAAAATTATGCAGCAATAGCATATCCCTTTTTGAGATGTATCTCAAATTTTTATTTTTAGTCCAAAATCAAATCAATTTAGCTAGGGAAAGAAAAACTAATAAATTTGTTAAAATATATTTGTAACTTTAACAACATACATATTAATCAGCAAAACTCACAATATGTATTGTATGGTGTTTAACGGTAAGCAAACAAGAATTTGGAACATGATTTTAATGGAACAAAATGAGAATATGAATTACGAGACGAGATGGGAGGGGAACATAAATTAAAAATCAAATTAAATACCCCACTGGTATGAGTTCGGGTTATGAGCACTATATAAAATAAATTTGTTTACACACAACCTTGTACGTACATTTTCAGTTACACATATTCTATTTATGACGGATACGGGACCGTTATATTTTTATTTCACGTATATGAGACGGGTTATGGGACAAAGAATTTATGACAAATACAGGACGAGATAGGTTCCCTGTTCCAAAATAGTTACACCTAGCTAATATACATGAAATAACCAAACTAAAACTGAATCTATATCCTATTTAACGCATGTAATCAAAATTTTAGAAATATTTTGATTAGTTAGAAAATAAAAACGTAACATCATTTAACTTTTGCAACTAAATTATAACTTAATTTGATCTTAAATATAATTTCGCATGTACGTGTAGGTCCGGATCTTAAAATATAACTACGTACTAACGCAACTGAATTTCGTTCATTACTCTAACTTTATAATATTTATACTATTATGAAGTTCACTAACACAACAAAATATTTTATATTCTTAAAATCTATATAACAATTTTTATAATAATATCTCTGCACGTATGTGTAGAACCAGACTTAATACACTAAAATATATATCATAGAAACAACAAAATAATTTATATTAAATTAAAATTTGTTAGAAATTTTTTTAAAATATAAAATCCTGCACATACGTGCGGGTCATAATCTAGTAATAAAGTAAAGACACTGTATGTATACTTTTCTAAAGTATAGAAACAACAAAATGTCAACAAATTTAGAAGAGTGTATACGTCAAAGACTATTCGTAAAGAAAAAACGGTCGTGACAAAAATTAGACAAATTAACAATATATTAAATAAACTTTTTAAATAAGAAATTTGTAGTATAGAAACACTATTAGATCAAATTCGCAATATTTTGTTACATTTCTTATATAAAAATCTCTAATTCAGTGGGAAGAAAAGTAAAAGGATCATCGCATCCACAGATACAGGTGTCGGATTATCAGTGTCACGTGGTGTTTAAAACGTAGACATTTCACCATGTGGACTAATACATTCATAAATAATTCAGCCATCGAAGACAACCATCAAGCAATTTCTATACTAATTTAAGGGTTTGATTGGTAACAAGCTATTAGCTGGAGCGGTTAGCTGAAGCTGTTAGTTGTTAGGGAATAGTACAAAGCTGTACAAAAGAATAAAACACGAAAGCTGTACAAAAAAATAACGCAGAACAAATTTTAAAAATTTATTCTGATTGGAAACATCATAACGGTACACATAATAAATAATATTAAGAATTTAGAAAGAAAGAAAAAATTATATAGAAATGTACTTTAGTATATAATTACATATGAAAAATAAGATTATATAGAATGAACAATATTTTATTGTTAGAATAATAATATAAATTTACTAGTCCTATAATAAATAAATTTTCTTTATTTTGAGCAATATAACATTCCAAAATAATTGTTTGAGAAAAAACCATTATTTCTAATGAGATTTTTTCATAGGCTGTATTATTTACTTTTTCGGAAATCTTTATCAGAACATTCGAGACTTTTTTTTTTTGCATTATACATAGTTACAATTATATTTTATAAAGTTTAATTATGCGGTTAATAATACGGTTAACCGTGCGGCTAATCGTTCTTTTAAATAACGGTTTTGATATGTTTCCGGTATATTAACGGTTACGGTTAGTATATTTTTTTTAACCGTAACTAATCTAGTTTTTCGGTTGAAAAACGGTCCAGTTACGATCCAAAATACGGTTATGGTTAGCTTTTGGTCATGCTTACTAGGTATGACCAAAAGCTAACCGTAACCATATGTTGTACCGTAACCGGACCGTTTCTCAACCGTAACCGTATAAAACGGTTAAAAACCGTAACCGTAAAAAATAATTAGTTACAGTTAAAAAATATATTAACCGTAACCGTTAATTAACGGTAAACATATGAAAACCGTTATTTAACCATATGGTTAACCGCATAGTTAAAACTTTAAAAATATAATTGTAACTCCACATAATGCAAAAAAAATTATCGAATATTCAGATTAAGATTTTCAAAAAAGTAAATGATACCGCATATGAAAAAATCTACGTTAAAAAAAATGGTCTTTTCTCAAACAAATATGTTATACTGTTATTTTGCTCGAAATGAAGAAAATTTGGTTCGTAACATACTTTTTGATTTTATGAAAAGTATTATAATAAGTTAGGTAACTCGTAAGATTTCGCCTCCGATATTAACCGTATTGTAGTCATCAAATAACTATAACCGTAATTATCCGTAACCGTTATAACCGTAACCGTATTTAACCGTAACCGTTATAACCGTATTTAACCGTAACCGTTATAACCGTATTTAATCGTAATCGTAACCGTATTTAACCGTAACCGTTTTAATTTACTTTTGTTTTTGTCCAAAAATCAGTTTTTTTTTTTTATAGTGTACCGCTTTTCATAAAGTTTTTGTGATTGGTAACTGTCAAAGCTGTACAAACCTGTACAGCTTTAAAATTGGTTACCAATCATAGCCTAAATATGCAGAGTCATTTCAAAAATTATTAGTAAGTGGACACGTCAGACAAAACAGAGAGTTGAAAAAAAAACAGAAGTCTAGAGAGCGAAGGATCCACAAGTGGAAGCTGTTGTCGGAAGTTGGAAAGTTGGAAACAGCTTAGCCGCCTTACGATCGACCCTACAATTGATTCGACGTTGTTAACATATAAAGGCCCAATTATAATGTATGGTTAACTAAAAAGGCCTTTAGGCCCATATGTAGACTTATGTGAGGTCTATGTTTTATTTTAGTTAAAAACACCAATATCAATTAGTGCTTAATGCTTATATTATTCGAAAAATCATGACAAATCCACGTATTATTTTAAAATGATAGTGGATATAAATAAATAAATAAACTAGGAAATAAAAATCGCAAGAAAAATCTTCCCCACGTTAGTCTTCCTAATTTTTATGTTGTCTCAAAATGTCTTAGTCTTCCTAATTTATTTGTTTTTGGCCTAAGTTCTTGGTCTTTGTTAAATAATAAAGTATATAGATCTCTCTATATAAAAATATAGCCGATACCAATTTTTTCCACATGACTTCCTTTTATTCCAAAAGTCAATTAAAGAGTGACGTCATGACACTTACGCTTTAAAACATCCCATGATGATGTCATCATCATCAATCTCCACCGTCCATTCATTTAGTGGTTGACAATATCGACCGTCCAAAATCCACACCGACGGCTATAAGAGTTTCATTATAAGGTAGCAAAATAATTCCGCAAATATTAATTTTCTTGTCCACGCTAAACGACGCCGTTAAATTTTCTTTTGGCTAACATGAGTTCGGTGAAGAGAGAGGAACGCCGGGAAGAAGATAACGGAAACATAGAGAAACCGTCGACGGAAGTTGTTCGGACGGTAACGGAGGAAGAGGTGGATGAGTTTTTCAAGATATTACGGAGAGTACACGTGGCGACAAGAACGGTAGCGAAAGTTAACGGCGGTGTTGTTGAACGAGAGTTACCGTCAAAGAAGAGGAAACGGACTCAGAATCTTGGGTTGAGAAATTCGTTGGATAGTAACGGCGTTCGAGACGGAGAACTCGATGGGATTAATCGGGTCGGGTTACAGGGTTTGGGTTTGGATCTGAATTGTAAACCGGAACCAGACTGCGTTAGTTTGTCGTTGTAGTCCTTTCAAGTTTTTCTCCTTCTTACAATAATCTATTTTTTTTTAACTAAAATAAAATTTTAAAATGGAGTAAAAGAAAAGTATTATAATGTAATCCAATTTCAAATTCTACAATTTTATAGGTACAATGAATTACGTCGTGTAAAATGATTAGTCATATAACGATGAATCCAGTCTCAATTATTTGAAATTAATACAAATATTTATGGGTTAACACTTAACACAAAAAGGAATTATATTAAATAAAAAAAAAGAAGTAATAATAATCAATTATGTGTATATAAAATTATTTTTTTTATTATCTTCAAGATGTTTGGTAATTTGGTCTCAAAAATGCTTTCAAGAGATTTTTTTCATTTTTTGCTGAGCTAGTGGGCCTTAAGAAAAATAGCCTAATGAGATGTTGGGCCTAGTGGAGAAGCACTCATTAACACTTAAACAAATAATCACTACTAAGGTTATAATATATATAGAGAAATTGACTAACTACTACTCCCTCTTTTTCAAAATATAGGGGGGGTGTATTCGATTTGATATTTTAGGAGATTTGGTAGAATTTGATTATTTTAGAATTTTGAGAGCTTTGAGTGAATTTTTAGGAGATTTGGTTATTTATTAAGAGTTTTTATATAGAAATAAAGAAAAAATGATTGGTGATTTGGTGAGATTTCATCATTAAAAACTTGTGATTTTAGGATACTTTTAACCAAAAAAAGAAGAAAATTTGGATTTCACAGCTCCCATTCTCACAACGACGAGTTCAACAAGCATAGAAGAGTACTACAAGGCTCCATGATACAGATTCAACAAGTGTCATCTTTTTTTCTTTAATTTGAGGTTGTGATTTTGAAATTTTTTCTATGGATTTTGAGTTGTGGGGTTCACTATCTACGTGGGTTGGTGATGATTGTTTTGCTAATGACATATATAGCTAGTTGCAGTCACAAAATATTGATTATGGACATAATACGAAACGTAAAAAGAAGGGTGGATGTTGATCCACATCACGAAGAGGCAAATTTCGGAATGAAACAATTTGGGCTAGAGGAGAAGGGCAACATCATCGACAAAATATATCATGGACCAATGACGAAGATTTCAGCGGCATCCGAACTCCAGAAGGATTGGGGATTTCGAAATTGACTGAGATTTCAAGAGAAATCAAACGAAACGAAGGATTTTGGCATATAGCAATTGGAGAGGATGTTAGGGAGTGACGCAACGCAAAAAAATTCAATGGAGGAAGTAAAATTGTGAATCTGTAGATCTTTGGTGAAGTGATGTTGCAATATCTTTGTTAATTGAGGTAACTTGCAGAGATGGAGGTAATTACAATATCTCTGCAATTGTTTCTCGACACATTTTTTTTTAAAATCATTCAAAGTTCCACCTCTAAGGGTGTGATTTTTCCAGTCATATTTTTCAACTAAAAAGGTAAAAAAAACTCTCTAAAATCACTTTCAGTAGCCTATTCTAAAAAAGATGTGATTTTTTCAATAACAGTAGATTTGATATGAGTTTTACAAATTGTTGATTGAATAACAAGAGATTATGAACTATTTTAAGTGATTTTACATAAATTCCAAGTTCAATAACAAAGGATTTGAGAAATTTTTTAAAAATCACCAGTTGAATAACAAGTGATTTTAAAATTCACCTAAAATCCTCTAAAATACCAAGTCCAATACACCCCCCTATGGCTATTTGGGTTAAAAACACATATTTTAAGAAAATTTATTTTCTATTTCAAAACTATCATTTAAGAGTTGATTTAAAAAATTTAACCAATTAGAAAATAGACTGCAGAATACAAACAGTCATAAAATATCAAATATATTAAAATTGCATAGAAAGTTGCAAAACATCATATATTTTGAAACAAAATAAAAAATCGCAAACATCCTATATTTTGAAACAGAGGGAGTAATATATATTCTTTTCGTATGTTTTAGAGAAATTTTTTGTGTCATTTTAAGTGATGTTTTCAACTTTCTATGCAAAAATTAAATGTATTTAATTTTTTTTGACTAATGATATTTAAAATGTATTTTCTAATTAGTTGAATTCATTTTACTTAATGGTGTTATATGTAAAAGATATATATTAAATAAAAAATTATGTATTTTCTACTTTATGAAGAGAACAGTTTAAACAATGGAAAGGTGAGTTTTTCTGAATTCTAAACCCTATATTTATAGTTATGAAAGTCGTCTATAATTTTTCTAGGGTTCAGAAAATTACGGGGGAAGAGGATTAAATCTATTAGAATATTTAAGGTATATGATTGATTTTATTCGATTTTTTGTAATACGATAATGATTTTTTGAGTTGAATTTATTGATTAATGTGGATTTGAAAAGATTTTATCACTTTAAATATAAACTAAATCAAGGAGATATAATCTCGAACGATTAGTTATCAGTTGATTAGGTGAATATGCGGGATTGAGTTTGCATATATTATTCCGTGATTTTTTTCATTATAATTCGCATTTATAGTTTTAGTTGTTATGAAATGTTTTTTGAAGCTATTTAATCTAAAATGGCTATTTCAATAAACGGATTTTGTCATATAGGTTGTTATAGAAATATAGGAGTAGAGAGATTGTAATCCTCATAATAGATTTGCTTGTTATGGTTATTTTTAATAAATGTATTGAATCTGATTATTATTTTCTATAAATATTGTATACCCGATCGGGCCTATTCTTCGTAAGCCCAATAGGATCATTCATCAAACAAATCGGGCTGCTATTCCTCCTTCCAAAAAGGTGATAAAGACCCGAGATCCGACTTCATGATCCAAGATCCGCGTCTCTGTTTGATTATGTTTGTCCCATTATACCCCTCGCAGATCTTTTATTTTAAGTAGTAGAATCAGAAAATTGTAATGGCATTCTCTTGTAATTTTGTACACATTGTAAGGTTATTTTTTATATAATCCTTCCCAATTAATAATATAGATTTTGTTTCATATTACAAGATGTTTTACAAGTTTCAAGGTAAATTTAATTAAATGTATTTGACAACTTGTGACTATTTAATTGTTGCAGACTTTTTATGATTGGTTGAATTTGTTTTAACTAAATTATAAATGATGTTTTTAAAATAAAAATAAATTATTTTAATATGTGTGCATTTACCTTAAACAAATTATTTTAATATTTTGAAACAGATGAAGTATATTTTAATACTAATTATTGTCATATGTTATAAGAAAATAAAACATTTATACCCTTTACGTCGAAAAAACAAATCACATTATTGAAAACTCTTTTCAAGTAATTAAATCTATTTAATTTATTACGACCTATAATATTAATCTTTTATATTATTTCATATTATGTATAAATTATCAGTGACCTCCAAATTTCAGTCATAAAACTGAAAATTCATTTAAGAGTTTTTTCCGTGTTTCTCTTTCATATAATGAGTTATTAAAATTACTCCATTTTAGTTCGTTGATATCAACATGTTTGAGCATTTTTTTGAGCATTATATTCTTCAAAAACGCTATCAAAACCAAATTGCTTATACATCACACACACCATCCATATTTGCTGATTTCAAGTTGAGTCATCATAATATTCTCCAATAACGTCTTTACTGATATATATATATATATATGTAAATAATTACAAAAATACTAGTGTTAAAAAGCGGTTTGGACGGCTGTCTAGACGTTAGACACCCCTAAATCGCTTAGATATTACTAAAATTAGTTTAATTTAAAAGATTTGGAGCAAACTAATCGGTGATTTGGGCGAGGTAGATGGATTCACATCACATGTGTCTAACGTTTTAAACTTTTCTTTTTTAAATCGTGTTTTCAATATTCATATTTCTTGCTTCTGTATTTTGAATTTTTGATATATTTTTAAATACAAACTTTAAATTTATTTTTAAAAATTTGATGATTTCTATTATATTATTTTATTATGTTATATTAATATATAAAATATATATTATTTTATTTCAAAACTGCTTAAAGCGCTATAAATCGTCTAAATTCCCACTATTTATTCTAGTCCTCTAGAAGATCGCCTACTTAGTACTTACTGCGTAGATCTTCTTTGACATTCAAAAAATACTAATAATGCGTAATTATATTAAAGTTGTGGACCTTGTAGGCAGACTGGCAGACGAAATTAGACAGAAATTTGGCACAAGAGGGAAATGAGTTATTGTGCAAGTGTGAATCACAACCAACCATTTTAATATGACTTGCTATCTCGTTTTCCTTCCTATCTTTGCTATGAAACTTAAAAGTTAATTGAATAAGTCAAAAGTGGATGATAAGATATAGAATTACTAACACGATATGATATGATTAAAGCAAATTAACATTTTTTCCTTTTGTTTTATATACATATATTCTCAAATCTTCTATATCTTTCTAACACAAACAATGAAAAAAGTTGAAAGTCTAATCATTCACAATAGTTAGTAGTTGAAGACTTATTTTGCTAGTCAAGCAAGACGTAGAATCACATGTTTTCAATTGTAAGAATTCGGGTTTATTACTCAAACTAATACATACACTATAAGAGTTAATCTTTTAAAGCGTTTAATGTGTTTGGAATGAACCAAACATGACATAAAGAGGAAACCTAATCTTAATCGAGATATGTATATATGTAAAATGAGAGAAAAAATGAATTAATATGTTATCTTTTAGGATTTTCTGATGGAGAAAGATAGAAATGGGCCACCATCTCTATTCTCTTACGCATTTGTTCTTCGCTTTTCCAAATTTGATACAATTTGTTTTTCTACTTTGGAAGCAGAGCATCTCGCGGAAAATACGTCCGTTTCTTAATTATCACAAAATACATGAAAAATCTTACGCAGGGTAAAGTTTTTTTCTTGTTGAAAAAACTGCTTAATTTAGAACATCTATTTTTTTTCGCATATGCCATAGGCCCATAGTACGAAAATTTTAATATAATATGTGTTATGTTGAAGGAATATGAAAAAAATGCTATTTTGTTATACTTAATTATGCTGTAAAATGAATTTTTATTTAAAAGACACTATTGAATGTTATTTTAATTTTAATTTGTGTTGGTAAATAGAGTAAAATTGACATTATTCTATGTCTTTTAAAATAATGATGTATCTTCACTTAAGATC